GTGGGGGAGGGGGGTAGGGGTAGAGATACCAAGAGGTGGACTTATGACCGGGGGGACTTATGCTTGGGATTTTACGGTATGTATCATCCTCCAAGTGGCTCTATTATACAGTACTTACGAAGTACCCCTTGATTCGATGCTACACTTCCATCGCATTTTATCGTCCTATCGTTTTTATTTCTAAGGAGACAGTTCTTTCTGCTGACTAGCGACCAAATACGGTAGGTTGTGTCATGGTAGAGACTGTGAGGAGGAATCGCTATTCTCTGTCGAAATAGTAATTTTATTTAGATACTAAAAATATTTAACTGGGTCCTGGTTGTTTGGGACAACAAGAGAACCAGAAAAACGATACAGCCACCCAATAGACCCCTTGCATGTGATGTCAAAGCAGCTCAATAGACCCCTTGCATATGATGTCAAAGCAGCTCAATAGACCCCTTGCATGTGACGTCAGAGCAGCTCAATAGACCCCTTGCATGCGATGTCAAAACAGCTCAATCGGGAGGACAAAACAAAATGATTTCAATCACCTAAGAATTGGGACCAATTGTTTTGTCCCCCAGATTGAGCTGCATTCCAAAGTGCTGCATTTGGTCTTTAAAACACGTTTTAAAAATTATATGTATGACTCCAGGGGTAGTTCCCTGGGTGATGAAGGAGCTGAGTAGCAGCCCTCTCTTTTGGAATGGCAAAAATATTTCAGTAAAACTAGATTGTGTAAGCATTGTAAGCCAGTGTGCCAAACACTTATTTTATCAATCGAAAGAAGGAAACATTGGGGGAATTAATAAGAATACCATTTGATAATTATAATGAGTCTAAAGAATGATGTTGACGAAAGAAGGGTACCCCAACAAATGTATTGAGCCGTGCATCTATATCAGAACCCAAATGAAAAATATATATGCTAAAGAATAAAAAGTAAAAATATATACTGACGAATAAAGCAACATTGCCGCCCATATGTAGTATGAGAAGGATGATGTCCTCGTCACTGTTTTAACATTCTGAGGTGCCGAATACTTAATTCAGTAATATGCTTAGAAGCCATTCCCCAACCCTTACTCCTTGTAAAATCTTGGATCCGCCTTTGGATTCTATCACATTTCGTTGAGCAAATGATTAAGGTGTCAAAAATCGTTTTTTATCATATCTAAAAACAAAGCTTCAAAGTTTCTCATCGTTAGCCATGTCAACCCACTCGTGAAAGCGAGGGTCATATTTCTGGAAACGTAAGCTAGTTGACTAGACGTCAGGCGAAATGACGTCATCAAACAACTTCGTGAAAGTTTTTCTCAAGGAATCCAGTGTGTCCTCTCGCAAGGTCAGTTTTCGATTGTTGCATTGATACATAGCCAAAACTTCAATTGAAGACATTCCCCTGAAATGAAAGAATAATAATAATAATAAAAATAATAACAATAATAATAATAATGAAAATCGGTTATGCTGCTAAGTGTTGTATTCCTTCTATTGATGATAATGGTTATGAAGACGATATGATGAGGTTGATGATGGTATTGCAATACCATCCTCATATATGGTGGATATGATGGTGGTGAAGACGATGATAATGATGATGGCAATGATGAAGTGGACGATTCACGTTTTGATGATGATGATAGTGCATTATGATGGTCGAAGATAATGATGATAATGGCAAAGGTGATCATGGTGGTGATGATCATGGTTTTCCAAATGTCAATCGATCATGGTTTTTCACTATAAAAAAAATATGGTACGCATTGGCACCTTAGTGCGAATCGATCTGTTCTAGAAAAATGTCATTGCCTTTACACTTTAGTTCGAAAAAGGCGGTGTTTCTAGTACTAAATAGGGCATTTTGGATAAAATGGAAGGCTGAAAAATGGAACAAACTTGGTAAAGGCCCAATGCAAAAATGAAATTGATGATCCCGATGCTTTTAAGAGGCGAGAATCGCCGGATAGCCACGAAAAATTGAATTTCTTCTTATTTCACCAACCAAACCCCTTTGCTGAACTGTTTCAAAAATTGTATTGAAACTTCCCGCAAATTTTTATTTCCTTCGAAATGCCCTAAATTTATTGACAATTAGACAGTCATTGTGACTTAGCAAAAACCTTGCACTTTTGTAGCGATCGTTCAATCAATCAATCAATCAATAAACTTTACTTAAAGAGGTTGAGTAATAAGCCAGTGAGTTATCTAACATACGGCCCTTAAAAACCACACAAAAACCAAAAGAGGGACTGCATTGACATCGGTCCAAGAGCAACTTTGTAATTTCGTCTTTCTAAAGCATGAAAAATAGCACCGATATTTGGGTTTTACTATTTTTTAAGAACCCATTACCGGATGCTGTGGAAGCGTTGCGGCGAAATTTCAAATTTTACCTTTATTAAAGTTTTGCAAAAGAGTTTTTGCACCATCACGTGCGGGCGCCATAATCCGGCTTGGACTGCCTGTGGTTAGATGGCAGAACAATAAAATCCCTTAGCTCTCTGAATTTGAATTCTCATGTAAAACGATTGTATTGTTCCTTTCATCTAACATGGCTGGCGTCACGTGATGGTGCAAACCCTCTTTTCAGCTGGTACAAAGCGTTTTAGCCTTAAACCTCGATTTCCTGAAAAAGCAACTCTTTCTAAATTAACGAGTAACAATAATGGAAGTGCAGCGCTGTGAGCCTTTTTTTCGCCAAGAAGGGACACAGTCATTCTTTATATAACTAACTAAATCAGTAATTAAGAGAATCAAAAATGCTATAAACCTAAGACATTGTTGTCTTTGGCAATTTTTTTGCCATTGTTGGTATCGGCGGGCGTCTTTGCTCGATCTTTGTACCAGCCATTGATATGTGGCTAAGGCTACTTATATTTTCTCCTGGTATACAAAAACTTTCATTTCGGGTTGTCCTTGGCCGTAAAAGCTACTTGATATTTCTTCTGAATTGAGCCGGACTCTGGTGGAAACAAGCCAGTGTAGGAGATATGAATGCAACTTTTTGGGATACCGAAAAAATTTGCAAAGTTTCAAGAGTAAACATGATGCAAGGAAGACTCGGAGAATTCGGTTTTACGAGTGATTGTTAAGATGAAAACTGACAATTAGATTTGGATTAGTCATTCTGTAAGATGCTTTTTGCCATACCTTTGAATGTCTTGCGTTATCTCATTTTTGTCTACCATACATCTGAATTTCCCTTTTGTTAAGTGTACTCGGCATAGTCCACTCAGCAGAATTCCACATAAAAACCAACTACGAAGAAAGAAAAATCGGCCAAGAAACTGAAACATCTTGAAACCTATTGCATCAAGAATAAGATTATCAGTGGAATGACCATGAGTCGAAACTGCAGCGCTATGTAGTAATCTCTTTGATGGACACGTAATGTTAGCAGGTGAACGAATTACGTAGTTACACATTACCCATTAATGGAAAACGTTATGATATCCAACAAACGAGAAAATTAAATGGTGAATGAAAATAATTTACAAGTGGATAAAATATTACGGTAGGATTTTTGACGAAATATCACAGAAAGAATGTATTAGAATGCGAAACGAAATTTCTGTTTTGATAATTCCCGTTCACAAACAAGCCATTATGTAGCCGTAGACATGTTTTTTTTTATTTATCTGCTTGTGTTTTATGTGACTCGAAAATAGGACAAAGGATGGCAGTAATTTTGGTTGGAAATCAAGATTATATCTTTTGTTCAAGTCTACCAACATTTGCCCGGGAGAGGGTACCCCATATTTAGCTTATACTGGGATCTTCCGCTGGATAGGATTTGGGTTTTCATAGACAGGGTACATATTCCCATAATATAATGTGTTAGATAGACTAGCACTATCTAGCATTTTTTGAAGTCTTAGATACGGTATTCAATTTTGACTTTTCGTTGAAAATGATTTTTTTTTTTTTTTGGCCGCTAAACTATTTTACAGCGTAACTTTGAACTGTTTAGGCGCTATACAGGGCATAGAATGACTCTTTGGATAGGGTTTATAGAGATTTCTTAATGGAAAATGCGCGCGTCCGGTTTTTATGCTCGAGTTGAGAAGTATCAGAAAACGAACGAGTGAGTTTTCTGATACGCATTAACGAATGCATAAAAACCGTACAAGCATTTAACATTCTGTAATTTATTTATCTCATAGATACTGAGATTTCAAAGATCAAAACTTCTAACAATAAAACTAATATAGTTGTTGGTCTACAGGCCGGGCGACCATATTGACTGATAAGCTTAGGTTTTAATGAATAAGCTAAATTTAATTTTGTTTTATATTACATATAGTTTACAAATTCAAGTCAAAAAGTGTGACAATTGAAATAAACCTGGTCATTATTTACGACACAAAACAGCATGCATGTTTACAGAATGAGATATAAAAATCTTGAAATGTTTAAGGTATTACGATACGAAAAATGACGATTTGCTCGAAAAAAAATTTTTTTTTGACATTTCGTTTCTTTAAATTTTTGTCTTTCATATGTTTGTGAAACTTCTTGCAATTTCTGATTGGAAAAGCCAAAATTTTGAGACAAATCAAAATCGTGACTTTATAAAGACCGGAAATGTCCCGTCGCTTGCGATAACGTCGAGTCCAAATGCTCCTTTGTCCTTGTAAAAAGATCCTACATTGCGATCGTCCAGAACAACACATAAGTGACAAGTGATGACAAAATGGAAGGTTCCAGGTGTTTTGACCATCACCATGATATGACTTGACACACGAACGAGAATTTACTAAACTAGATTTCCGTGTGTAAATCTCAGTATCTGAGATAAAAAAGGATACCCCCCCAGATGTGTACAAAATCTGAAGCCTGAGAGACGGCTAGTTTCTTTCGTTCATTGGAATTTCTGTGGCTGTAAAAACCGTGCAARATAAATGGGATTATCATATGACCCGTACGGCCCTGCTCGCGCGCTCTAATAAAACCATTGCAAAAAGTCACGTGATGGGGGCCGGACGGGTTGCCGTAAGCGGGCCGGAAAAACCCGTCCGGCCCTGCTCAAAATCCGTCCGGCCCTCTTCGGATGTAACCATTAAATTTCATTTAAAAAGAAGCTAAAATGACTGACAATTTGAGAGAACACGACGAGAACGAATTCTACTATCCAGACGAGATATTTGACACTGAACTGGCTCAGCAAGCGACATATCTTGAGTCAAATCTGATGAAATACAGAAATACATCCGAGCACAACAGAAAACAAGTACAATCAACAAAACTAAGTATGACATGAACGTACTGAAGCGCTTTTTACAAGAATGTGGTGAAGAAAGAGAAATTGAGAATATCCCTCCGCCTCAACTTGACAGTCTTCTTTCCAACTTTTACATAAAGGCAAAAAAGAAAGACAATACTTTGTACGAACCTGGTACAATGTCGTCCTTCTCAAGAAGTATCCAGCGATACCTCGACGATAAAAATGCAAAAGTAAACATCTTAAAAGATGAAGAGTTTAAGCTTTCCAGACAAGGCTCGATGTCCAGACGACGAGAATTAAGAAAAGATCAGGGCAAAGGAAACAAGTCAAATGCTACTGCTCCTCTGACAAGCAAAGACATTGATGCTATTTTTAATGAAAACGAGTTTGGAGTCCATGATCCAGAGATCCTTTACCGTACTATGTGGTTCTTACTTACTTTGCATTTTGGTCATTGAGCACGACACGAAGCGAGACAGCTTGTGAAGTTTGGAGACGTACTTTTGAAGAAAGATGAAATAAATGGCGAAGAGTATGTAGAGTGGTTCCAAGAAAGAGAAACTAAAACCAGACACGGCGATGAAAATAAACACCAGAGAGCTTTCTGACCAAGAGCTTATGAGAGCGGCGACAAGAAATCTCCTGTGGCCTGCTTTAAGCAGTTTGTTTTCAGGCGTCCCGAAGAATCCAAAAGTCCAGAAAGTCCGTTTTTTCTTGCTATAAATCATAGAAGGAAGCCAAATGATCAAGTGTGGTTCCTAAACAGACCGATGGGAAAGAACAAGATTGGCGAATTCCTGTCTCAAGCAACAAAACATTTGAAGTTCACGAAGTCAAAAGCCGGTAAAATTACCAACCATTCCGTAAGTAAAACTGGTATCACAACACTCCTGGATGCTGGTGTTCCACACAACATTGTCGCTCAACTGAGTGGCCATAAGAGCCTTAAAAGCCTTGACAGTTATGCAGTTGCCTCTGAGAGCCAACAACGAAACATGTCGATAATACTGAGTGGTGTTGAGAACGTCAAGCACGAAGCTAGCAGCAAGCAATCATGTCTCCCAGCGCAACCGACTACAAATTCAACTGCCGCTGCAGGTTCTCTTTTTGGGGAGCAAACATTGGAGTATTGAACATTCAGAACCTTGTTCTTTCAGGCCATGAAGAAAGCCCTAGTTCGTGTTTGGTCAAACCCAAAAAACGTCGTTTTATGATCGAGTCAGATGAAGAAGACTAAAAGTCTAAAAATGTTGAAACTTGTCCATGAAAACACTTAGAGTTGACATAGACATTCTTGAGTTCCCAAGCTGCTATTTTCCCCCGACTTTTGACCAAATAGCTATTTGCGAAGTGTAATAAGAAACTTATTAAAACTTTCAATGGTATTAAAAACAATTTTACTTCTTGAAATGTGCCTCGTGTTTACAATGACTGTTAAATGGCTTTTTTTCAATCAAATAAAAAGGAATTCTCCCATTGGTTCTCGTTTACGCGCGCGGTATTTATCAAGTTTAGCAAGATCTTTCAGCCTTTTTTTACGATAAAAATTGGGTCATATGATAAAATGCTTATTGAATGAGTTGGGTCGGGCCGGACGGGATAATATTTTGCTCTTGGTCAATTGTACGGACCTCGAGCCAAATATTTTCCCGTCCGGCCCTCCCACTCAGTCAATAAGTACATAATATCCAAAACATATCATATAAAAAGTATGGAAATTTCTAGGGAATACTAAAAAAGCATGAAAACTAGAAATAGATGCATACCAAATAAATGCAAACATAAGCTTAAGGTGCCATTGATATCAGGTACATTTCAGGATAGTGCATCCAAGATATTTAATCCCCTTCCAAAACACAAAATAAACTGTATCACCTTAAATCACCATTATGACCCAAGAAATTTTAAGAGTACTCCTTAACTGCAGCCCCCTCCTACCATGGAAATGTACTGTACAACACGTAAATGAATTGGTACTTAGGATGCAGTACTCAGGATACAGCAAAAAGTTCCGGTATGAAGTCGTACACTCAGCTCTGAAAGCGTACAAAAAGATCTTAGCGCTAGATCAATCAGGTGAAAGACCGTTGTACAGACGCAAAGAGTGGATGAAAATGGAAAGAAGGAAAGAAAAGAAATGCAAAGAGAAGACCTGGTATAAGAGAGGAGGCTTTACGAGTGTCATAATGATACCAGSGACACCAAATTCGGAGCTGAAAAGAAAACTTGAAGATGATGTCAGAAAGAGTAGCATTAAGATCAAATTAGTGGAGAAAGCTAGCACGAGCGTTAAGAGTTTGCTACAAAAGTCAAACCCGCTCAGGAAAGACCCTTGTGGACAGGAAGACTGCCTAGTGTGCTAAACAGGAGGTAGGGGAAATTGCAGAGCTACAGATGTAACGTATGAGATCAGTTGTAAATCCTGTGGCGATAAGTATATCGGAGAGACGGCAAGAAACGCGTACACTAGGGGAAGAGAACATTTGATGGCACTGGATTCGAAAGGCGAATCATCAGCACTAAGTAGACATTGCAAAGAGAAACACGAAGGGCTTACTACAGACTTCACCATGAATTTGACAAGATCTTTTCAGGGTGATGCAATGTTGAGACAAATAACTGAGTCTGTTAAAATTAGCAGAGAAGAACAAGATAAAATAATAAATAACAAAACAGAATGGAACTTTATGAAGATCCCTAGAACAGTTATAATGTAAATTTTCTTTCTTCTTATACTTTTACAGCTCGCGCAAGTTTACTGCGCGCGCTCTCGTTCATCACGAGTATAAACACTATATCGCAACGTAATCATTCAGTTAGATTCAGTTAGGTTGAAAAGGTCCTAATAAACGGACGAAACTAGTCCCTAAACTACAATTGTGTTGTTGTTAGTGCGTGGGGGATTATAAAAATCAACAAAGAGTGTGTATAGATATGAAGATAAGCAAGTCCTTCAATGTCTCGATTGAAAAGTTATCAAGAAAAACCTTAAATGATCAATTTAGTCTTAGTAAAAAAATCTATATTGCTCAAGCACATAACAGGTGCTCATAGTTTTTAAATCGCATTCCATTATAATAATAGTAATAATAATAATAATAATAATAATAATAATTATTATTATTATTATTATTATTATTATCATCATCTCCATCATCATCATCATTATTATTATCATTATTATCATTATTATCATTATTATTATTTTATCATTACAAGTTTTCTTGTCTTAACATATGTACATAGATATTCAGAATGGAAGAGGAGGAGGAAGAAAAATATTTGCGTGTGTGAGTTTCGGTCGGTGTGTTCTTCGTCCTCTTCTTTTCTTTTTACTTTACTATGACTTAAGCTTGCTAGTTTTTATATAAGTGTGTATATTTGTCTATTACTGTAGATTATTTAGCATTGCAAGAGCCAAATTTGTTGTTTGAATGTTGTTAATAAGCCGTTATTATTATTATTTATTATTATTATTAAACGCACAAAAAATTAAGTTAAGCAAAATTGCAATCGAACTAAATGATTGTTAAAATATATATCTGGTAGTAGTAAAGTATAAAGTATAAAATATAAAATATAAAATATAGATAAAGTGATTTTCATAAACCCGTGAAACAAAATTTAGCTATTAGCTTCTATTAACACATCTATTAATGTGTAATAGCGGTTATTAGTGAGAAACTAAGTATTGCAGTGAAAGTTTGTTGACTGTATTTTATTACTTCGTTGAATAAAGTCTAATGGGTAATAACTCCTACTAGTTTGTATTAATTATTCTTACGCTAATATTTATTTCTCGGGTTTATAAAAGTCACTGTATTATAATGGTAGCATACAAATATCATATAATAATAGTACAATTTAATAATAGTGTTGCAAAATACTAAATGCAAATACTATATGTAAAATTCATGAATGAATAAGTCAAATGTTTCTCAAAAAAAATTGGGTAGCTCTCAAAACCAGCTGATAATGCAAGTCATTAATTCTGTGCAATTCTTTAACTGAATGAATGAATGAATGGCCACAATGGCCAATTTAATCACGTGACCTCTTAGTGCAAGTCGCCTATTTATGCACTGAACAAGACAAACAAGAGCGAATCTTTGAATATTTAATTATTATTCGCACGTGTGTTTTTATTAAAAAGGTATGAATAATGAGCGGTAATTAATTTGAAAACAACACCAAATTAAGTTTTTTCTTACGTTTATTAGGACGAGAATCGTTTTGTTTTGAACAAAATGAATTGGTTTTGACTGACGATAATTCATCTTAAAGCGTGAAACACTTCGTGCCATTGAAAGCAAAATAGAAAAACGTAACAAAATCTTCCCATATCAAAAATAGTTATAAAATTTTAAATGGTTCAAAGATGTGTCATTATCGGAAAATATTTCATTTTTTATTCGAGTGAATTTCATTTATTCTATAGTACACATTTTGAACTGAAACGTTTTTGAATTGATACGCCACATTAAAAATTTGTTCATAATAGTTCTGTCATTTCATCATCTTACTACCATTGTCGTTTGAGTGCGACCCTCGAAGTTTGAAGTTTGTTTTGTTTAATAATTTGAATAAGGTTGTATTGAAACTAATCAATTTTGTCGAAAAAAACTTTAAACATACGATTAACACGATACGATTTTACAGAGCAGTTTTTTAGCGGTGCAAGATAATTAATATTTGCCGGTTTTTAAAATACTTTTATCCAACTTGTGCCATGAATATCCACTACGCTGAACAAAATGGAAATATTTAAAGTAATCTTTACCCTATGCCGTGCTAAGGCACCAGGACATCATTCGGAACCTGCTTTTCGATTGTTCCATTTTTTTATAAAGCACCTATTGTTAGGTTAGTTTTTTTTTTTTTTTGTTTTTGTTTTTGTTTTTGTTTTTTTTTTTTTTTTTTTTTTTTTGTTTTTTTTGTGAACACCAAGATATCATTTCAGTTCTATATATTGCATTTTAAACCAATAATGAAACTTGTTAAAAAATGTCAAGAACGCTGCTCAGGACACGAAAGCGATCTTGTAAGACTTCGAAAAGCGCATTATAGTAAATAAAAATATATGCTACTATATTAATGTGTCATGATTTCGATGTGTCGTATCCATATAAACCGTAAAATCAATGGCTCTTACCTGGGCACCTGCCAAAACACTTAGTCATTCAGGGACTAGAGCAACAGATATCACGCAATTATCGAATATTGTTTGGGGTTGGATGTGGCAAGTTATTGTTTTGTTAATTATTTGCAGTTGAAAGCCAATGCAATAAGTTATGTTTTTTAAATATAGGAAAATATAGGAAAAATGTGCCAATTGCATTGTTTAAATCGTGATTGGGTATATCATACACGACTTTCGAAAATGGCTGCTGCTATCAAAAATCAATGTTCTTGGAGTGAAACTTGACCCTTTTAATTAAATCATTGAACTTGTTGATTTAGGTAAGGCGTGTGAGTTTCTACTTAAAGTAATAAATCCTTTACAAGATGTGAGCATTTGAAGTTTTGAAAATGCACCAAAACGAGGCCACTAAGGCCGGTGATAAATACATACAAAACTCTCTATTTTCGTTCTTTCATAACTTCTTTGGTATCCAGTTAAAAATTACAAAATTTTCTGGAAATGGTCTTCATGAAGTATTTTTCAAATAGCACTGATAGTTTCTGGTAAACAGGCCTTATTTTATCTATCAGAGAAAACTGAATTATGAAAGTCGTCTATATATATCAATTATATTAATCTAAATATTATACCTCGCAGATACATTTTTAAGCTAGAGTGATTTAACTTGGCCCGTGAAAAATAGTCAACTTTTTTTCACGGAAGAAGTGAAATCACTCTTGTTGGAATATTTTCCTAAATTTGGGAGAATATAGAGTAAATGACTACTTGTAAAACGATACCATAAAAAGAAATGATTCATTTTTTGTTAGAAAATAGAAAGTAAAGAGGTAACACTTCATCAAAGCTACTGTGATGACAAGACATTTAAAGTATGAAAAGGATGAAATACATTTAAAATATGCATTTAAAATATGCCATTGTTTTCTTTCGTTTTACTTTGACTGTTAGTCACTAAATAATACAACTGTTTCACGTAAGAAGTCAAATCACTCTGTTTGGAATATTTTCCTAAATTTGGAAAAAAATATACTGTAAATAACTGCTTGCAAAACGATACCATAAAAAGACATGATTCATTTTTGTTAGAAAATAGAAAGTAAAGAGGTAA